TGGATCTCCTTCCGCAATTTGACTCGCTGAAGTAGCAAAAGTTCATCTTTACCTCTTAGAAGATTATCGGTGGCGTAGGGGCCTAACAACTGCTCAACGATAGTATGGTGCGAGTTCCGAATCGCAATCCCCAGCGAAAATATTACCGTGCGGTGAACTAACCATCACCTTGCGGCAAGGTATTGAGGCCTTGCCACCCTCTCCGAGCCATATCCGAGCCCTCGCCGGGTCAGTTCGTGGAACTCAACGACTGGGAGTAATTATGCATGGCAACGTTGGAGACGAAAATCGTACCCAACACGGGGTATTTCCCGATGATGTGTCGCCTTTTTCAAGCCCTGCGTCTGGATATGGGTCTACAGTGTTGTCATAAGGTTTTATTCTCGGTTGTCGAGCTCCTTGAACTGGCTCGGCTAGGTCTCGGAGAGGATGGCAAGGCCGATACCTTGCCGCGATGTGATGGTTAGCTCACCGCAAGGTAATATTTACGCTAGGGAATGAGCCGACTCGTGTTTTTTTTCTTATACTTTCATCGCATATAAATTTCTCTGATGTTTTTGTTTTATTCCCTCCGATATTGCATATTAGTAATCATATCCTCATTTCATTTCCTTTCCCTTTCCTTTTTCCCTTTCTATAGCATATGTGTCCATTTACAATCATTGTTTTAAAATAGCTTTTCCCTAGTATACAATTGATGCCTCAAACGGAATCAATTGTTTAAATGACATTTCTGGCTAAATCATGGGTTTTCCCAGGAAGGCAGCCTCTCGTCCCTCCCGGACTCTATTGTTGCCAGATAAGTTGCTTTTTTAGCACTTTTCCCAATTCAAATCCGTGTAAAATATTCACATTTATCGCACAATCTGGCAACCTCTCGAGTGAAATAGAAAGAGGTGGAATCGCTGAATGTCTGAATCCTTCGAAGTTTATGTGACTGAAAAAATGATTAAATGATTATGCAGCTACAAGCAAAATCTTGCAAGCACTATTTCTGACGAACTGCCGGACCTATAAGGATGATCTTTACATGTATGTCATCTGTAATAGATGTAGATGTGCAAAAAATTATGAAACCCCGAACTTTTAATGTTGTAGAGCTTTTAAAGCTCATGTCACTTAAGTCCAATGTTAATAGCGTGAGAGATATGTCGTTTCCGCCAGAAACGTCAAGGTGTGGGATTCTACCTGAGTGACTCGAATAAACAATAAAACAATGGAAAAGCTCGTGAAGGGCTCCTCATTCGAAGAGTTGAGGAACGGTGCATCGTTCAGGGTTCAAGGTTCAAGGTCCAAGGTATAAGGTTTAACTCAATTTTCCTGCATTCTTCCGGCTTCGATTTGTGGCATTGATCAATTTACTTGATTGTTGAATTTCTATTAATATTTGCAGCAGATAAACAGCAGATACAAAGTGAGAAGGCAGGCGCTGCGTCGCGTCGGGACGAACCAAATATTATTAAGTAACTCTTAACGGTCGAAATCCGATTTTTTTTTAAATTAAGTATTTATAAATAAGATAATAAATGGAAATTTCTCCAGTAAGTGGACTGTGAAATTATGTGCATCCAACTATTCCTCATCATTTACAAATCTGAGAGTTACGTCAAAAATTTTGAAATCGATGCAGCTCGAACACGCGGGCCTGAGGGCGCGAGGCGCCCTCTCGGGGGTTGGGCCGCGTAGTAATTTAATACAACTGTCCAGGGTTTATGAATTTTTTGACTTCTTTCCATTTCCAATCAGTAGTCTCAATGTATTTATCTCTTTTTCCTCAGATATATGGCAGCCGGTAAGCATGTAGGTAAAGTCCTCATCAGAGTCAGAAATGAAGAACCTGACTTGTATGTCAAACCAGAATTTATTCCCCAAGACTGTCTCCCGAGGTTCAGATGCACAGCTAACTTTTCATTCATCGTCTGTGGTGGTCTGGGAGGATTTGGCCTAGAGCTAGCAGATTGGCTCATACTTCGAGGGGCAAGGAAAATTGTACTGACATCTAGAGTGGGTCTGCGCACAGGGTATCAAGCAAGTCGAATTCGAGTTTGGAGGTCATATGGTGTGGAAGTTGTCATTTCAACGGCTGATATCACAACTCACCAGGGCGTTGAGTTGCTGCTGAAGCAAGCAAACGCACTAGGACCTGTCAAGGGAATTTTTAACTTGGCTGTGGTGAGTGAAAATATTATGTAATTATGACTGAGAGCGATTATTAAGAATTTTCACTAGAGCTGTTGTTAGTCACCTTTTATTTATCAAAGCAACTATCATCAAGGTATTGAGTTTACTAGCCGTTCTGGGCGCGCTTC